GGTGTGGTAAATATTTCAGCAGTGATGGGGCCAGTCACCAGTATTTTTTATATTATTATATTGCCTGCTAATCTGTTGAGGGACATTGTTGTTGAACTTGTTCTGTAGCTTTGAGGGCACAAAGTAGTCGAGTGTCTTTACTGGAGTTCTTTTTTAATTGGAAGTTGTTTGAAGTTAAGCACAAAGCTACACAATTGACTATCTGTGCTCTGCCCAACACGGGCATCGAAACCCAATTTCTAACATTGTAACTCCGCGGGCATACTGCTGTGCCACTAAAGGGGGAGGGGCAATTGAATTGGAAAGAACAAAGTATCATATTGGTTAACAAGTGTACAACAACAATGGCATCAGTTCTGATTTGTAGATTTTTCTTTACAAAAATCTATATTTGTAGGTAATACAAGTATTAATTAGGAAATAAGGCAAATTAACCAAACAAACACAAGTGATACCCAATCAAAACTTCTTCACAGATATATAGGCTGGATGAAAAAGTGAAACACATAAGCTTATTAAAATGAATAAATAAGGCATCTTAGTTGAATGTGGATTATAAAAAGCTATTTAACTTTCAGAATCATGAAGTACTTGGATTACAGGATAACCTTTCTTGTGCCGTCTGTATTTTAATAAAGACTGTTACGATGTTTCATACTTTTAATATTTTGGCTTCTTAAGTTATTCAAATTAAACGTTTGAAATACAGAAAACTGAAAAAATGTATATTTAACTATTCATAAATATAAGAATATGGGAAAAAATACTTCATCAGTTTGTCACATACTTAGTATAAATGATATTTATTATACTGGGCATTTTCAGGTGCAAAACAATTAAATATTCGTCCAACGGATGTTTAAAATTTTATCCTCCTTGGAACCATATGAATAATCCACAAAACATGGATAGGCATATGAAAAACCAAGTAGTAAACTGCTATAGTATGGAGAACAAATAAAATATACACTGCTATTGCAGTGTCAATATCTGATAAAAATATTGTTACGTCTCTGGTCGTTAGTTAATTTTCCGTAAAAATGCTTCCCGAAGAAACTTTAGCGATACAAGTCCTTTCTTAAATAAAACTGGTTTATTATTTCTGAATACAACTTTGCAATACACGTAATTTCCACAGTCACGCTATAATTCACTACGAACGACTCACGTGCTTGACTCAAATGTCCGTCTCTATCTCTGTCTGCAGTTCAATTACATTGTTGCCGTCACTTCTTGGCCGTCTTATATACAAGAATACCGTACATCTAGTAAACACTCGAGGCTTCAGGAACCTTCGAGAATATGACGTGTTACTAGGGTAACGTGACTTCCGCTGTCGTAACACTGCCCCTTCCTTAGTATTGTTCGTCCCGAACAATAGCCACTTATATTTAAACCAATAAACAATAACTTAATTGAATGTACAAAATTTACAAACACAAAATTAAAATTCAACAGTCTCTTAATTTTACGGGACGTATCTTCTTCCATACTGGTCTCCATCTCGTTGGCTTCTGCTTCATATGGGGTTCATCTGCTTCATCAGGAAATGTCCTATCGTCGGTAACAGTCACATCAGTGGTAGTAACTTCATCAAGAGCTTCACCGTTTCTCTTCTCAAAACTGAGTAGAGTTTCTTCTTCAACATTGGCTTTTTCAAGTGACACGTCTTCAGCAGCGTCATTTGTTCTGTTGTTCACGTTGTTCCAACTGAAATGTCCTGGACCATGATAACGCCAAAGCCTGTTGGCATGCACACCTTTTGCCTTACCTCGCCGACCACATTTGACCTGGAAAGTCACGTCTG